TTCGCTGGGGTTTTGGGGGAAGAAGGGAGCCACAGACAGCGCCCCCTAGTGGCGGGGCAGGACAAGGGCAGCCTCCCGCTGATTAAAACTAATTATTCAATTAAGATCAAAGGTATGGCAGGCGAGACAAGGCGTGCGGTTGCCCCAGAGACAGGTGTGTGGGCCACATTGAGGGCGGCCCAGAGAGACGACCTGTCACAGAGAGGCATTGGGATCTCGGAGCTTCAGTGAGATGGGAGTCCAAGACGGGTGGTTGTTCCTCAAGGAGATGATCTCCGAGCTCAAAGGGAGTCATTCCCAATGCACACCAAGGGGAGCAGGAGTGTTAAGAAACCCCTGTGGCTCAGCAAAGGCATCCAGCGATGCCTGAGGGCAAAAAAGGAGGTGTACAAACAGTGGAAGCAAGGGGCTATCACAAAGAAGCATTACACCTCTGTTGCGTGGGACTGTAGGGAGGCTGTTAGGAAGGCCAAGGCAGAGATTGAGCTAGGGCTAGCAACCAGAATTAAGGATAATAAAAAGTCCTTTTTCAAATACATGGGAAGAAGGCACCGGGTAACATCGGGCCCCTACAGGATAGGCTTGGCAATCTGGTGATTGCAGCAAATGAAAAAGCGGACCTCTTTAACGAATTCTTCTCCTCCATATTCCTGATCAGGGACCGGGACATCTCCCCCACTAGAACTGTGGACAGACCCACGGGAGGCACTACTGTGCCTAGGGTCAGGGACAACCTAGTTAGGGAACTTTTGGAGGGGCTGGACATGTTTAAATCAGTAGGTCCAGATGCTCTTCACCCGAGGGTGCTGAGGGAATTGGCGGGGGTCATAGCAGGGCCCCTGGCATGGCTTTATGAGCACTCGTGGGGCTCTGGCCAGGTACCAGAGGATTGGAAAAGGGCCAGTGTGGTCCCCATTTACAAGAACCAGCAATTATAGGTCAGTCAGTCTTACCTCAGTCCTTGGGAAGACCTTTGAGAAAATTAACAAGGAGCACATCTGCAAGGGCCCAGCAGGGGAGGTAATGCTCAGGGGCAACCAACATGGGTTCATTGAGGGCAGGTCCTGCCTGATTAACCTTGTTTATTTTTATGATCAGGTCACAAAGTCCCTGGACGAGGGTGTTGGGGTAGATGTCATCTTAGAGGCCTTCTTAAAGTCCAAGATCACGGTTTCCCACCACATTCTCATAAAAAAACTTGGTGACTGCAGCACTGATGCCTACACAGTGAGATGGGTGGCAAATTGGCTAGATGGTCGCACCCAGAGAGTGGTGGGGGACAGGTAATTTTTGAACTGGAGGGATGTGAGCAGTGGAGTCCCCCAGGGCTTGGTCCTGAGGCCTGTACTGTTCAACATCTTTATCAGTGATCTGGATGTGGGTGTGGAATGCACGCTGTCCAAATTCACTGATGACACCAAGATGTGGGGTGAGCTGGGCATACTGGACGGGAGGGACAGAATCCAACTAGATCTAGACAGGTTACAGAGGTGGGCGGATGAGAATAGGATGAAATTCAGCGCAGACAAGTGCAAGGTGCTGCATCTAGTGAGAAGGAACCAGCACACACCTATAGGCTAGGGAACACCCTTCTTGTCAACACTGTGACAGAAAGAGATCTTGGAGTCATTGTTCACTCCAGGATGAACATGAGCTGCCCATGTGAGGAAGCAGTCAGTAAGGCTAACTGCACCTTGTCAAGCATCTACAGATGCATCACAAGCAGGTCCAGGGAGGTGATCCTTACCCCTATGCAGCATTGCTCAGGCCACAGTTGGAGTACTATGTCCAGTTCTGGGCACCGCACTTCAAGAGGGATGTGGCTAGCATCAAGAGAGTCCAGAGGAGGGCCGCTCACATGTTCAATGGGCAGCCCTACGAAGAGAGGCTAAAGGGCCTGAACCTATTCAGCTTCCAGAAGAGGAGGCTGAGAGGGGATCTGGTGGCCATTTAGAAACTCACCAGAGTGGACCAGCGAAAATTGGGGGAAGCTCTGTTCCCCCAGGCACCATCAGGTTACTAGGAATAACGGTCACAAATTGTTAGAGAGAAGGTTCGGGCTGGACATCAGGAGACATTACTTTACAATTAGGGCTGCCAGGCTCTGGAATGGGCTCCCAAGTGAGGTGGTACTCTCTTGTACCTTGGGGATCTTCAAGAGGAGGCTGGACAGATATTTGGCTGGGGTGATATGACCCCGGCACCTGTTCCTGCCCAGGGCAGGGGGTCGGATCTGATGATCTGTTTAGGTCTCTTCCGACCCCAAGTAGTATGATACTATGATACTAAATATGTCAATTACAACTGGCATTTCTTACAGGTTCTGCTGTGTTTAATGGACCACAAGAAACACTTCTTTGGGAGGAAATGGAAAGATACACGATGCCAGCATACTGAGGAGATCTCAAATTTACATGCCAGAACAAGCTAGGACCTTATTCCCTCCTCCTGTTAAGAATATGATATAAGTACCCACTTATACCCCTATGTCCTAGCGTAAGCTGTTATGGGCAGATTCTGGGCAGATCACAGCAGGACATGTTTGGTTAAGCTAGTGAAGCTGATCATTTTTACTTTTGTAAATGGGTTGGGTAGCTTCAGTATAAGCCCAGGCTGTAGGAGCACAGCCAGCAGTTACACCTACGGAGCGAGAGGAGTAACATCACTCAGCTTGCAGACTGCAGGTCCTGGAACACCTGGAGGTCAGGATAGGAATCATGGGGATAGAGGAGGTTCTTGTGGTCCTGGATAAGACCTGAAACTGCTCCCTGTTGGGGTTGGACGGTGTGGTGGGGCTGCCTGTGGCAGGGCAGTTTCCAGGAAATGCCACATCTGTGCTTCCCCAGTGAAAGACGAGGATGGGGCACCATAAAGTCTCAGCCCCCATAACCTGGTGGGTAACCCCATAGAGGAGACAGGCTGGGGGTCTAAGCACGTTGAAAGACACTTGGGGCATGAGTGGGCAGTAAGCTGAGCTTGAGACACCCAAGGCCAGAGAGGGCCGGGGCTAAAATCAGCCCACGGTGTGGCGTGGGAGACTTGATGCCCCGTCATATAGAGTATGGCCTGAAATGGGTGGCCTGAAGGTCTGTGAGGGACCAGCCCTGCTGAAGGTAGTATGAGAGAAGCTTAACACAGGACTGAGTTTGGCCCGATAAGGGTCCGAGAGAACTGGCACCAGTATGTGATGCCATCTGCAAAGCATGGGATATGGTATAAGGAATGGTTTGGAGCTGTGTATTTCGCCCTTGGCATCAGGGCAAGCAAATGAGCAGCCTCCCGCTTATAAACACCTATTAAGTGAAAAAATCAAAGGCATGGCAGGTGAGGCAGGGCGGACTGCCCTAGACAGGCTGATGTCATGATAGACCTCAAGACACCCCGCCCTCCCCCCCCCACCAAATCACACTGCTACATACCTTTTGCATTTTCTTTGACTTACATTATTTTGTGATGCACTCTCCTGTGCAAATTATAGAATTTACTGGCTACAAGCTGTTGTTATTTCCGTGTTTAGGGGAGCTTGCTGTGATTACTTGTGGAAATAACTGTAGTTTATGAATTTGAGATCTGTACTAGTTAAAGGCTTTTATGCTGATTTTGAAAAAGGGTCATAGGGTCCTGTTGAAAACTTAAAAAAAAAAAAAATATGTTTCTGAGTTTTGTATCCTGAACAGTTTGCATATTGTGGAACATTAAGAAAAACCTTTGACAGTCTATACACATGTTCAAGGGTTAGAGGGGCTGTCTTAATTAGAACAGTTCCTGGACAGCCACTCTAATTAAAAGTCATGTGTATTAAGCCCCACAGTATTTCAGAATGGTGGTAGGATGCTTTATCTAAAGCTCACTTGACATGGTTTAAGTCAAGCACTCCCATGGCCATTTTGAAACATGCAGGGGCTTAATACATGTGATGGTGAGGCAACACTGGAGCGTTCCAACTAGAACACAGAGCAGACTCGATTAATTATTTAGTAATTTATTAGAATGTGAACAAGCACGTGCATAGGCACCTTTTGTACATAACTTCAGGTAGTCAACTTCAAAACAAACAACTACTGCAGAGAACCAAAGTACATTTAAATATATATATCAGGAGAAGGAAAAAAGAGTAGTATTTCAGGCAGACCAGCTACCTGCTAACAACTGGAAAATGTATGTTAAAGCACAGTATAGTGCAGTTGTGAGTATTTGTTTGCTTGAGTGTTCAGTATTTGTAAGTGCGTGTAACACAGAGCAGAAACCCCCAAATTAAGAAAGAACAAACCAGAAAAAAGCACATCAAAATCAGCTAAACTTAACAAAGACGTGCAAATAGTTTCATGGTACCCACTGCCCGTCTTTTTTTCTCTCCTTCCTTGCTGACAATGTACCCAGCACACATTGTACAGAGCTACACAAAGGCCATGGGTTACACAGGGGTGGGCAAAATACGGCCCGTGGGCCGGATTCAGCTTGCCAGGCACCTCTGTCTGGCCCATGGGGCCCCTCCATAAGCCCCCTGTAAACACTGGCCCTCGCTGCCTCTCTGCAAGCCGGCACATCCCTGCAGGAGGTCCGCTTTGGTTGCTAAGCAAAGCAAATTGAGGCCAGTGAGAGACCGTATTAGTGGGGCCACTAAAGGCTGCTACAGCTGCCATATGTAACAAGACCCCACCTCTGAAGACAATATAGTTATTGTTATGAAGGATATTGTACTGAGGCTTCACGAACCCCCAGCCTGGCCTGACCTGCCCCAGCCCTAAGCCAGGGGGCATTAGACAAGAAGCCCCTGCCTGGCAGAGACTTTTGCCTGGCCACCCCAAGGCTGTTTCCAGGCTCCCTGCCTGCAAGACTGGAAATGCAGGTAAGGGCCCCACTGGGTCGGGGCTAGGGACTTCCGCAGGGGGAAAAGGGTGAGAGTGCTGGGAGCCACATGCTATGGGGCTGCGTTGGGCTCCCTACCCAGCTGTCCCTGGGGTCCTGCTACCAGCCTAGGGGAATCCAGTCATGCCACACCTCCCTGAATTTCCTAAGGGACTCAGACATCCAGGGTGGTAGAGAACTGCAGCTGCTACCATGCTGGCTCTGGTACACAGTGCAAGGTGGTTGTGACCACACCACTGCACTCTCACCTTGGATCCTCCCCTCTCCATGAGCATGCTGTCCTGCTCCTGGGGAGGCTTCTCCCTGCTTCACAGATCTCTTCATGAGCCTTTCTACTTGTTCCTCTTTGCACGTTAGGAATTGCACCACTCAAAACCTCTTTTCAGAAAAGCTTTCACAATTAGACCATCTGCCCAACCAGCTCCTAGGCAAGATGGCTGGCCCCAAAGCTATTGAAGTGCATGGGAAGCAATGACAGAGAGCGAGAGCACTGTATTGTTGTCAACATGAAAAAAACCTAAACCATTTTCATCTTATTTTCCATGTCAACACAATGCAGTTTACTACTGCTATTCTTTTTCAGGTCTATATTTCTCATTTGTGAGATCTGCCATCTGGAAGCAACAGGGACAAATGTTATTAGAGAGAACAGTTTAACACATTGTTGGCAAAATGCTCGACAAGTTTTTGAAAAACATTATATGAAAAAATGTTGTGGCACAGTTCTATGGGAGTGAAGTCCTCACAAGGCCTCTCTTACTAGCATTGCCCCCTATTTGTTTTTCAGGCTGCCCAACTCACTGAGGTTCTACTGGAAGTTCCCAATGGAGAAAAGAGGTGGCATTCCAGGTTAGTGGTGGGTTTACATAAGGGTATACAAACGAAATTTGGGGAGGGGGGCAGTAAATGGAGGGATCTAGCAGTTCCAGAGGTGGACAATCCAGAGTTTGCCCTGAGAAGCCACAAGAATTTCTACTTCATGATTCTTGCAAATTTTTCCTCTGCCATCTTAGTCAGGAGGAGGATTGTTATAATGCTGAAGAAGGCTAGGGGTTATTGATAGCTATGAAGTGCACTCTCCTTGCACCACTACCACTGTGGCAGAGCTGGGGAAAAGAGAGGGGAAGAAACCCCACTTGCCACCCCAACCTGGCTGTCCGGTTCCCTGAGACTCAGTGGATGTCTGGCCCCAGCACTGGAGCAGCAGAGCCAGGATGCCATCTCTGCTCATTCCTGGTGGAGTGGGGATGAGCAGCAGAGCCGGGAACCAGCTGGGAACCAGTGCTGGCTCAAACTGGAACTTCTGGCAGGGGCATGGCTGCAGCTCCTTAGATGCCTCTCAAATGAGGCAGGAGCCAGCTGATTCAGAGCCATTCCCCCTTATAGCAGAAGAGAGCAGCCCCAATTGTGTGGCAGAGACAGGTGGTGATTGGCCCCGGGAATCAGGCAGAAGCCTTAAAAGCTTCCAGGAAACTGGATCCAGAGGCAGGGTGAGGAGAGAGCATGTCTGATGGCAGACAGGTGAGAAGCAGCCTGTCTGCACACCTTTTCTTATATTGATAGTAAATGGACTCCTGGGGATACCAGGAGCCAAAGCTGGTGCTTACAGCCATGATGCTGGGGCGCAGCTTTAATTCTGACTGATTAATATCTGGAGGTATGAGCCAGGAGTGTAGGGGTGGAGGAGCTCCGGCTGCATGCTATTAGCATGCTATTAACACGCTCCAGCAGCCTTGGCATCACATGTATTCAGCATCCCCATGCTTCAGTTAAAGCACCCTCACCACCATTTTGAAGTGTGGGACACTGAATACATGAGATCCAGCGGGCACTTTAATTAGGGTGGCTCCTGAGAGCCACTCTAAATAAAGTATCCCACCACCCGCAGCATGTATAGAGACACCCTAAAGGATTAAAAAACAAACAGGCTTCTGTGAAATCTAGCTGAGTGGAAATAACTGGGTAGTAATAACTATACGATATACGATAGGGGATTATGGGAATGGCAGAGGAGGATTATCTGCATTGATGCTCAGGTGATCTTGTCAATGGTACGTCTACACTGCAACAGGGATGGGTTGAGGAGTGAGTAACCCCATGCCCTCCAGTGTGTTTGATAGCTTGGGCTATACTTACCCCTGAATAATAGGGACAAGGAGACTTCTGGGCACTTAAGTGGCCTGGGACATAGAGAAAGTCTCAGATCTGTCTGTGTTGTCCTCAGTCCTGGCCTATGCTTACCTCCTCAGCCTCTTGCTTTCCTTCTTCCCCTTTGGTATATCGGCAATGCAATCCCAGAAGGACTGTAGCATTGTGTTAAGCTGCCCATACTAGCTGAGCTACTGAAGGAATAGTTCAGCTGCAGCAGCAGGTGGCTCTGCATAGGCTAACTTATGCTGCTTTTTCTACCCTTCTTCATATGTATGGGTCAGCTCCATTTCAAACTCTTTAAGTAATGGGAGATTGTGGCCCTCTACAAAGGCCCCTCTATAAAGGGAGTGTGGCAGGGCACTGTGTGTGCCTGCCACTTTAAGGGCCTGGGGCTGGCAGGCACCAAGGGGCCGGTGAGGGC